CGCCCAGTGGAAATTAGGATTGAATCCGCCTATAGGTATATGCATTCTCGTTCATTTCTAATTATCGCGGCAGGACGGCGATTACGGTAATACAGACTTATAAAAATGCTGACTTGAGTTCAAACCAAGGAGTGTTTGCGTGGCTTATATCGGAAATTTTCTGGAAATCTTGACACGTTCAGCACATTCGTGGCTACATAACGACTGCCATATTTTGATGACGTTTGAGGTTCTGGTCAAAATATTTGTTGAAATATGACACAGGAGCCAATTTCGTATATTACTACTTTTATTACTTTATATGCTGAACTTTGTGTTACACAGAAATTGCAATTTTTTCTTTTTTTTTCTTTAGATCTTGCTAGGTATGTCCTTGAGTTTTGTGAAGAGTTTTAGTAAGCTTCAAACCCTCTAAATTTTGGAAACATACCAGATATGAAGAGAGGCAGATTGTTTTGGGCATAATCATCTCGTTTTTCTGATTTAATTTTCTAAAGTTGTTAGTATTCTTGGAGATTTTGCTGTTATTATTTCCGCTACAGTTGTAGCTAATTATTGTATGCTAACTTTTACGAGTTTTTCAATGGTGTAGAAAAAGAAAAACAGAACAGAAAAGGATGAACCAGCCCCTAAATCAAATCGCAGCAAACAACTCAGCAATGACATCAAAACTGGTTAAAATCCAGTATTAGTATGTAGGTACAGGTGTTGAGAACAAAATGACGCGGAAACATCCGTAAAGCTCCTAGGATAACCTAGGCCAGAAAGTCTTGATTTAATTTCAGCGAACACTTTTTTGGCAGTCGTCGAAGGGGACTACCGTATCTCTCCCCATAGTTCCCAAAAACATCCAAAAAAATAAACACCAGTACAGTAGTATTGCTATTCCTTTTTTATCCGCTGTTTCTTTCTTAGTTTTTCTTATTTTTCTAGTACGTTTTTTTCAATATTTTTTTACTTGTTAGGAAATCACGTTTTTTCCGACTGACTGCCTTTTTAACACGACTTATCTTTCTCGTAGTAGTTTAAACCTTATATTTTATTCACACATTCTATAACTCTAAATTACGTAGAACCCTACTGTAAAAAAATTGACAGCTGTTAATGGCTGAGTTATTAAAGTAATTAAGTTAAAAGGTATGTGTAAAATTTGAAAAAGCTCACATTTCTGCTAAAATCTCGGCAGAAAAGAAGTCAAAAGCGTCAAATTTAAAAAAAAGACAGATAAAACACTGATAAACAAAGCGCTTTTTTTACACCTCATATATATATAATACAAAAGTTTTGCACACTTTCCCGAAGCCCGCTAACTTAACGTGGAAGTATAGGTGTCATCATTTCCAGTTTGTGTTAAAATTTTTTGCGAACAGAGCAGCGCTCTTCCAGCAAATTTGGCTCAATGCCACTGTGTTATATCGAGTCACCCGGATGTTGTCAGAGCGACCTCGGAAAAGGTATGTTTAACTTCTTTGTTAATATTGTAAATAATGTATCAAGAATGTTATATTATGCTCAGTTGTTTAATCTGTTTTCGTATGATCCAAACATTCTGAATTTTCAATACGAAATCACAGAAAAAGAGCAATTGAAAAATGAGCTTCAACTTCACATTTCGGCAAATATCTCGACAACGACGCTACAGATCAGCATGAGATAGCAATAGATCGACAGCTACAAAACTGCAGAATCAAATGTTGTCCAAAAATCCGCAGATTCTCATGAGTAAGCCAGGTAAACGACCTCCTAATTGAATGTTGGCCACCAGTTTTAATGAAGTTGCCGGCCAAAATGCCTGCTGTAGCTAGCATCCCGTCACGAAAAAATTTTAACACAAATTGGAAATGACGACACCTATACATATGTACTCGAGTTCAGTTCTAATTATACATCCGAGATTACAGGCGGGGAAATGACTTTTTTTTGAGGACTCCAGTAATTTTGGCGCAATGCCATTGTGATGTAAAGAGGTATCTCTGCGCTAAACCAGCGGGCTCCAGAAAAGTATGCAAGATTTTATATTACACATGTCTATGAGGTGTAACAAAAAGCTTCTGTTTATCAGTGTTTTATCTGTTAAACCTCCAACCTAGCACTCGACAACTGGGTTTCTGATCTCATCTCTCTTCCTTCCAATAATGTAACCTTGCGGCCAATAAAGGAGTGTTTTTGGAGATCATGCGTTTCGGACGGGATAAGAAATCTTGACTCCGCTAGTGCTGCACGGCTAATCCAAAAGTTTGTCCTTATTATTTCTTTAGCATATGCTGCTGCTGTAATTAACTCTTCGTACTCACGAATTTGGTCCGGGTTTGAGCGTCCTATTGCTTTTGTTCTATGCGAGATATCCTTTTCCTGATGAGTGTAGAAAGAAATTTATCTTACCCAAACTTGATGAGAACCTAAAACGTGGCTTACATCTTCTATTTCCTAGAATACTTTAGGTAAATAGTATGTATTTAAAACACTTCGGTATTCTGTCTCCGCTTCAAGCCTATCTGGTTGCAACACTATAACTTCTGCTGCTTGGATTTGTCTTATACTTGGTACGTTTCTAATGTGAAGCCGTCTGTCATAAATCCGTTTCTCGCCGACTAAACCATTTGCCGAAATGGAGACAGTAAATGGTCTCTGCTTGACATATTGAACAACTGCTGGTATTGAGAAAGGCTTTGCTTGCGAAATCACCAAGTAGTCGCTTTTTGAGCCGGCGCTTTCAACTTACCCTTGAACAAAAAAATTTTCAATTCTTTCCTTTCTTTTTTAATTTACGTTCCTGGCGACAGGATTGCTTATCCTTTTGCCACTGGAATGCTGCCACGTGGATCTTCTAACGTAAGAGTATTGCTGTCCTTCTCTCGTCGTAGTGCAGGATGTCTTGTAGCCACCTTAAACGTGGGTAATTGAACCTTTTATTCAATATGCAAGAACAATATAAAAAACGCCAAACCTTAGCAAATATAAAAACACTAACAAAATTAACATAAAAAATAAAAGGATTACTGTTTTCATTTCTCCTGCTGTCTAGCGTGGACCTTACATTGTCTACTCCACGGGTTGTCGTTCCCTGCTTTATCTTTTTCCCGCTGAAGTGAACGCTGACGACTTTAAAGCCGGCTTCTTCTTTTTTCCTGAATCTTCTTGATAGTCCTTATTGGTTGTTCCCTGGGCTTTCGGGAGTGTTTTATATTCGCCTTTCGGCGACACTCCCCCTGGATAGTTGTTCAATGCCGCCCGTAATTCTTTCAGGTGCAGGTCTAGGTAATTTAGGAACACTCGGCGCACCTGGTATTCCTTATACAGTAACGCCCGCCGAGCGTTCCCTTTTGCTAAAGGGGTGATGGCCACCCCCTCATCGTAGATGGCAATCATCTGGCGGAAGGAGCGTATGAGGCTGGTCATCACTTCAGCCCGCGTTCTCCTGGCCTTGTAACCGGGTAGCTTTTCCTCCATCTGGCGACGCAATTCTGTAGCTTTGTGCTGGACGGAAGGAACATTTGGGGAGGTGGGGGGGCTGGTGTTTTGAACCCCCCCAAGTAGTAGCCGGACTGCTCACTGGACGACATTTCGACTGGTTTGTGTTTTAAACTGGGTACCCTTTCCATTTCTGTTGGGCAAGAGGGATAGCCTTGAGGTGACAGCTTTGACTCGATATGGTTGAGGTGATATTTTCTTGCCAGCTGAATGTGGATCAGATCCCGTTCTTGATCGTCGCATTCCGACAGTTTTTCACGGTGGATTAAGAAGAGTCTGCGTTTGGCCGCCTGGTTGCAGGGGTCAGGTTATACGCTCCGCTCGATTATCTAATCAGAGCGGCAGCATAAGAGCAATTAGGAATAAAGCAAAGTCTTCTACAATACGTACATTGGGTAGGTGAGAATGACATCACAACATATAAGGTGTAGAACGATAATAGTAGAGATGAAACATAACTGAAATTAAGGTGCGGGGATTCAATTTTCTCCCTGCTAATTTTTTTTATTTTTATTTTTTTTTGCAAAAGGAATGTGTTAGCATAACTTGTTTATTTCTTGACACTTTGTTTTTACCTAAAGATCTTTAAAGTTTCTTTTTATTTTTAATTAGAAAGGAGTTTGCATATTAAATTATATATATATATATATATATATATATATATATACATATATATATTGCTTGTTTGTTAACAGCAGTAGTCCAAAAAAGAAAGAGAAAAAATGAGGTAAAAAAAGCGTGCAAGTTATAACAAAGTTTATGAGGAGTCGTAACTCAGAAAAATTTGAATTTAACTTTGAATCAAATAAGTTTAATCCTACTGGATTGTATATAAAAAACGCGAAGTAAAACAAAAAAAAAACAAACCAAGAGTTTCAACAAATACGATTGTATAAAAAGCAAAACGGAAATTTAAGACGATATGGTAACCAAAAAGTGAAAAGACGAAGGCTTACGCGTTCAATTTAAAAGTCTCAAAATTCAAATGAAAAAGGACGAGATCTTTATATTTTATAGAAGTTGAAAGAGTTTAAAATTAACATAAAAATGAAATTCTGGAATAACAAAAAAGATTCGAACTTTAACTTAAAATTTAAGACAGCAATAAAGATTGACTATAACACGAAAAACGTTCAACAAATGAGCTTAATTCCGAAGAAAAAGGAAACAAAAAGGAGAATATGTGAAAAAATTAAGTCAAAATTTGAATTTAAAAATGGAAATTCAATAAATGTAGCAACTTTTGGTATTGGAAAGCTAAAAATGAAAGGGAAACTTAAGTTTTAAATACAGGTTGAAGGATTTTGAAAATTCTTATATGTACCGTAGCACACTCGACCAGGTATGACCAAGACAACGGTCACTCAATCGTTGACAATTTGGTAAAATGACTGTAACGGTCTTTATATATCCATGTCACGCCTTGATCTTTTCGATTCTTCCCAACTTCTACTCTCCTCGATTCAAGTCAATTTCTTTAACAAGCATAACGTCGCCAATTTGTGGTGTTTTTTGGTCCGCTTGTCTTTATTCCATTTGTATCAAGGTTTGGCGCTCTCTAAGACTTAACAAATATTCGTCTTTGAAGAGGTGCCAATAGTTTTTTGCAAGTGTCATATTGACCTTGAACAAGTTGAAAAATTCCTTCCGTTCCTGCGGAGGAAAATAATCCTGATAGTCGAAGGCCTCCACTAGTTCAATACCAGCTGGACCACAGCATTGTAAGAAATCCATCGGACAAATTATCGTAGACGTTACTTCACCATACACATATGTCAAGGGCCTAGAATTTACTATGACTGCAATGGCTGCAATTTCGTATATAAGAGTTTTAAAACAAATTTTTATATTTTGCGCCGTACTGTCTTACCTAGCATTGACTTTACAATACCGATCAGTCGCTAATATTACCCACCCTGCCAGGGTGCATATTCTGTAATGAATCTCCAATTAACTCCTAGATTTGCGTAACAAGTACATTCCTGAGGGTTCACTACCAATTTATTCCATAACTGACTCAATGACTGATTAGCCACTCTGCATTGTGTTGCATTTTTAGAGTATATTACTCTGGGTTGACCTTGTGCCGCTATAAATCTGAAACCATTTAAGAAGGCTCGGTGTAGTCGTGTCATGAACTACTTTAAGATGAATATTTTGTTTTACTAAGCAAGTGAAAATACAAACCTAACGCTTAATGATGGTCCTTTCATTTCCCTCTGGTGTAACTGAAATTGGGTCAAAATAATCTAACCCAGTTATTTCAATGGTCAACAGGACTTAACTTTAAAAAAATACACACGGCTGGATCGGTTTCAACCGTCGACCATCAGCTACTCCATTTCCTCAACGAAGTTTGTCTGATTCATTTTGAGATCTTTAAATCTTCTTCACCTTGAAACCGTCGCCGCAGCACTATATTCTATATTCTCCAGTGCCTTGACCATTCGGTATTGCAATTCTATAAGGTGTTCAAGGCTTCAATTGTTTTTACGTTTAATCCTTGCATCATCTATCTCCAGCGCGATGTCAGGAGGGTATTTTTCCAGAAGAAGAATAATGACCACCATCTTATTTAGACTTTGTTCAAAACCTAGTGACTGCTGTAAAATGCAGTCGATTTGTTCAACGGTTATTCATAAACCATTCGCATGTCCAGCTGCGAGAGGAACAGCTTGCAAACAAAGGTAAATTGCCTAATGTCATGACTCCTTACTACCAATTCGTTTAACTAATATATCGATTGCTTGCTGATAAGTTACCTCGTTACGAGGAAGTACTTGAATACGGTCGAGTGTCTGACTCCAAAAAATTCGTTTTCTCCACAAACCTTCGATATGACTTCATTCTCCTGCGCTAGTCTACCTGCTTTCAAAGTTGTTAACGTTTATTTTTCTTGTCTATAATCCTGATATATTCCTCATCCCACTTGAATACGGTCAAGTGTTCCGGTCCTTTTGTGGATTTGGATTTTCCAACGAACGCCATCGTTTGAATCTTGTCAACTCCTTCTGAAATCCTTTGGCGTGAACTTCAACTGCTGCGCTGCTTCCGATATTGCTCCTTTGACGCCTGAATTCCCTGCCTTTTTTTGGATAAGTTCTCAAGATTCTTGATTTGTTTTTAGTGCTTTTTTTTCCAAATTGTTCACGAAGACTAGAATTTGTATATTTTTAAGTCGCTAGTTTGAGTTCAGCTGGCTGGACCAGAAAAAAAAACTGTTGCAACTACCAACACTCTCTTTAACTGAGGAGGGACGGGAGATTAATCAAAACTTCTCTACAGGATCCTTACGGGATCCTTATTTCTACAGCTATAAACCAAAAGCAATCGTAGTTACCGATGCTTGCAGCACCATATTTAGGACTGTAAACTCTCAGGTGAACGCCGAGTGGTGTCGTTGCCGAACGCTTTAATTTATTTACTAATTTTTAATTCACTTGAAAATCCCAAATATTACACTTGAATGGATGTTGAAAACACGACGACACAAATGAATAGATAAAGGTCACTGAGTACAAACCCACTAACCTAGACTCTACTAACGTGTCGAAATATAACTTATTAATTAAAGACTGGTCAACACGACCTTTAGTGTTTCCAAAACAAGTAATAATGAAGGATTATCGCAACAAATATACAAAGCGATGATTGAAGAAAACCTAAAGAAAATTGAGAAAACTTTAAAAACAAAACTATTTGAAACTAAAGAAGAAACAAATTCAAGGTAGATTAAGAAAGCTGCACAATGGGCACGATAAGCAAAGATGATTGATCACCAACTTCGAATGTCGATTTCGACGAGACTCACTGCTCTTTCATACCTTCCGATTTGGCAATGATCTCCTAGCATGGCCTCCGAGAGAGTTCCCTCAGGGTCATGGCTGGTTCGTTACCGTATTTGATCCTTGAGGCCATTTCGTATGCAGTCACGACAGGCTATTAGTCTTAACAATTTTGCTTCCACTTTCGTTGATATCTAACTCCATCCTACCGCCCTTCCGTTTAGTATTTTCATCCTTCTATGAGACAAGATAATAATCTTTCCTATATACGTCTTATCTTTAAATTAACGGGAGTACGTTAACATCCGTCAATAATAAGTTAGAATTGTTTCTCTTTCGCATCCGGGTGGTTGCAGGACGGCAGCAAGATAGGAAAGAATTTGCTAGAGAAAGCCGACACCTGTGGCAAGAAGTAAGCTGTTACTTAAATACACTTTCAGTTCTACCATTCATAGATTTAGATATGCCAATTAGCAAGAAGCTTAGGATACCATTGAAACGAGAAACGGCTAATCAGAATGTTGAGCTGTACAATCAGGAGTGCTACTACGTCGGCGTCAGATGAAGCAGGAGAAAAAGAATTCCTGTAAGAGAAATACCAAAGCTGGATAAAGCACTTTCTCTTGAGAAATATGACTGGGCAAAGGCTAAACCAAATTCAAGTTCTTATCCTCGCGTCAACAAAACATTTTGGTGTTGCTCCATTAAATACTACCTTTTACCCCCAACCTGTTGATACATCACATCAATCTGTTGAGGCAAGATTTTTATGTTACTGTTTAACACAGTTGAAGATTATTTTTTAATTTTGTTGTTATTTACCTTTTCGTTTTATTTTATAAGTTTTTTTTATACCTTAATCTATGTATCTAATTTCTTGTCTCTGTACTCGATTTCGTCCGTATCTCGCCTTTTTATGTATAGTTAACGATTGATTTCTCTCAAATACTACTTTTAAATAAACGCGCATGTTTGTAAAAAAAAATAATTACGAATTAGATAATATAAAATAATGACAATAATACTGTTACATCTAGAGTACACGACTCAGAAATAAAAAAGTACGACAGACCTCAAAAACGAAAAGTCCATGTTTACTGACTATTGGAGAATACTGCGTGGCTGTCAGCTACACACCACCAGGCCCTTCAGACGACTTCTCACTATCATTTCTCGAAAATACAGGGATTTAGGATTTGAACAAAATTGTTTTGAGGATTACCGTTTCAGCAAGCAGAGAACCGATGATCGCTAGCTTAAAAATGCGCATGCATAGAAATGTTGGGAACACGGAGAAGCACAGCTTAAGCTACAATTTTACAAAGCAATGGAGCTTAAAACTTAAAAATTCAACGGCCTGCGCAGTTATAAAGTAAGGCACGTATAGCGAACTACAAATCACTGTTCATTTTATTCATAATACTTATATTATGTGATTGGGAAAGTATGTGGACAAGTCTCTGTATTACTACTGTATTTTAAATGACTAATCTGTATAATAGGAGGTGGAAGATATTGGTAAAAGGACACTAGTGAAAGGATTGATTGATTTTATGTTTTCCTTTGCCACGCTTCATTGAATACTAGGTAGACACAATATAAATATAACGCAACACTCAGTAGATTAATAACAAAGGGATAGAGTGAATAAGAAACCAATACAAGAAGGAAAGGGGTAGACGGTTTCCCAAGGATCGATGTAAAATTGATAGCGACCTTGTAGTGGAAGTATTGAAGAAACTAATGAAAACGATAATCACTATAGACAAAGGGCCTACTCAAAGTCAGAGAGAGAGAAACCTCCTTTTACAGCTAAATCAAGATGGTATCTTTCAGAGGTTCTCGGCATATAATCCTCAAATACTATGACTAATTTAACACCTACAGCAAGATACAATATTTGGTCTATTGACACATCAAAAGAGAGTAGTAAATAATGTTGGCACCTGCAACCGTACAATAAATGATAACAAACAGGTAGACAAAATCTTTCCATTCTTTCTCCTATTTTAGCCTCTCAAACCGAATATGTCATTGATACGCTAATTACAGAAGGTTACCGTTAGATTTATGTGCGTTGTACACGCTCTTAAAAAACTGATGAAATAAAAAAAAAGATGAAAGGACGGTGATGAGATATCGGACACCTTTTTTTATTGAAATTCTATGGTGAGCATAGTCTCGTAACAGTATTTATTATCAAAATATCAGTTCTTCACATCACATCATTTCACATCAGAAGTAAGTATACAAACAGCAAGGAAAGTTTGTCCTACTGAACCAAGTGCCCATAGCAGTTCCGTACCGCTAAAAAATGAAGAAGGGCGAGCAGGCTCCCATACCTCCTGCATATAAGCTTATCATTGCTGCACACCAGTAGCAAAGATAGATAATTTCGATTAAGACGATCGGGAGAACATGAAAGAAAAGTCCTTTGGCAGCTTTGGGATCGAGGATCAAAAAGATGAAGGGAAGAGAGTAGGGTTAAAAGGGTCAGGGGAAGACAGGTGCTGCGTAAAGCCGTAAAATCAGCGGATGTTAGAAGACGTGATACATATCAACGTTTCACACCTCGCTGACTGTCAATTATTAATTTTTTTTTTTCTATTGTATATAGCCTTTGGAGATTTTTGTTCCTTGAGTTTTATTTTGCTGTCAAATGCTGCTGACTTTTCATGTATTTATTGTGAAGTCTAGTTACACAACTTTGAAGTAACAACTAAACTACTGCTTATTAACGAATAAACTTTTGCCAGGTAGCAAGGCCTGAAATAAAGGCAAGTGCCACAGCACTCCCTAACCACTGGTAAACAGAGCCAATGGAAACATGACATATAAAGTGACAATCCTGCTGCGAGAAAGATGTGTGGGCCAAAGATAACAAATCCTTTCGGAGTCTTCGCGAAGCTTTGTATACGGAGCCAGTGAACCTTCCACTCCTAAAAAGCACTCAGTTGAAAGGTAAATATTGTCCAAATATTGCGCTAGCAGATAATGAAAACGCTTACCTGCAAACCCTCTACCAGAATAAGATTGCGATTTAGCAAGATTTTTTCGACTTAAAGATTGGGAAGCGGGCACGACTCACGACAAAAATCATACGTGTTCTTTTATTACAGTATTACATTCGGGATCATAATTTCTCCATTTTTTTTGCAGACAGTCGTCCGTCACTTTATAGATGCTTTTGTATACCAAGAGGCTTTTGTATACCAAGAGGGAAATCCTATAAATCTCAAAAGATGGGTTCAACAAATAAAATAAAACGAGTACGTCGATAACTTGCTTTCAGAAGCAGGGGGTATGACACAACTCGATTGAGAGTCTACGAGAGGAGTGTTACCTGGCTACCTCAGCATTATAAGGGGATAGAGGGCTGTTACATAACCATCAGATAAGAAAAGGCTGCAAAAATGGAAGAAGAGGTTACGTGAAGACGGACGTAACGATCTTTCAGCCGGATCTAATAGCTTGTGGGGCTTCCTCAGGGAAGTCAAAATAATATAACTACTCGATGGACACTGCGAATTTGAAAATATAGAAACTCTCATTTTTGAGAAAGATAGTCATGGGGGGCATTGGAAGTCAGCTGTGAATCACTCCATCAGACCATTAAAGCTAGTCTTTAGTTAGCTCTTCTCAGCCGAAGCCCTGCAAAGTCTTCGCAGACAAGTTCTGAAATCTGGAGAATACAGGGTCAACAGAATCGCTTTTTAGAAAGGAAGGAACAGTTGTGGAAAAGCTCTCTGAAAATAGGCGACTTCTACAACAGTACGATAATATCATCGGAGATCAATGCGGAAGGAAATTATTAAAGCAGTAAAGACGGGAAGAATTTATCATTTCCAACATCATGCGATAATTACACTAAAAAAGGGCAAGCCAAGCTTGCAAAAAAGAAACGGAAAAATGAATGTTAGTTGCCGTTGTGTACGGTTGTTTAATGCGTGTAAATACTGTGGTCTTTGCGGAAAATTTTCCAAAAATTGGATTCCACTGAGTGAGAACCTAATTATTCCTGAGAAGCTACTGTCTATCTGGACGAGATTAGTTTAGTTAAACAGGGTGTATTTTACCCATTTGAAACCGAAGCATACAAAGCACATCTATTTCAAGCACCTTCAAAATTGTGCGATGTAACTGTTCTAAAGATTTCGCTGAATCCCGAACCGCTCTCTATGCATATGTTCAATCTGTCGTCCAAGAGACGCGATAGTTTTTGTGAAAGTACCAGTTATGGGATACTAAAATTCACTGTATAGCCGACTGTTAGATGCTGATACCTTCAGTCAACTTTTTTGTGGTGTCATAAGCAGCTCACTTATCTGGCATTATAATATTTTCAGGAATAACGAACTGACGGATAGGAGGGGCCGAAATGCCAGCAATACGGTGGTCACCTGCATCAATGAAGGGTTCTTTTAATCTTTTTCAAACTTTCCAAAACATCACTAGGCAGGTGTAAGCTTCCTTTTGTTGCCATTTCTTCGAGACAGAGCCGTTTCATCAATTTCAAAAATCTTGTCAAACCCTCCTATATAAGTTACATCCCATTGGAGGTATTCAACACATTCATCAGGAAAGGCTTTGAAGTAAGCAAATTGTTCGTACAGCGGCACACAATTTTGTGTGCAGCAATACGTTAGGTGAATTATTTAAAGAGACTTGCTTGAAAAATATTGCGGAATAAAAGCCTACATTTTCCACACCTACATTGTCTGCGCCCAAAATACATCCTGTTCAGAGCCTCCTCAATTTTGCATGCTGTGAGGGTCGTGCCTCTGTTATATTGCTCATATACACAAGAAAGTTCATTGGTTGCCCAAAAAGTAATCCTGAAAGCTGTAGTCGTACCTCAAAATCTTAATCTACTTTAAGAGAGTTTTTCAGGAAGCAATTTATAGTTAAAAGTGATCAAGCAATCCATAATAAATAATGTAAAGCGCCTACCACTATTGTAAAGTTAGCAAAAAATGAAACATTTTTTTAAAATGCTTTTGAAGATTTTTTTCTTCATTTTCTCAAGGTAAATTAAGTAATGCTTCTCCTTCCTTCTTAAGAAAATTTTTAAAAGGCAGGTTAAACTGGACTGATAATCCAGTTTTTGAGGAACTAATTTTACTTCCTTCCGCGCCACAAACCAAATTGAAGCTATTTTCCCTCGTATTTAACGAAAGTGGAGTCTCCAAAAATTTTAGAACATTTGCAAGCAAAGTTTTTCAAAATTTAAAAAAAAAATTAAGCAGCAAACGTTTTTAAAATTTGACAGAAAAAAACCAGAGTTTTCTGAAATTTAGGGATTTCAAAAAGCAGACTTTCTTGAATTTTATGCAGAGTTCATGAGGGAAGTTATTGTGATTTTGTAGGGAACTAAGAAACACAGGTACTTGTTTTGAAATGATTTTCAACTAATTTTTAATAAATTATATTGCTCACATTTACAAGAAAGTTTATTGGTTGCTGCCGCTCATTCGCTGCATCCACTATGGCCAATAAACGCAATAGGGCCACCAAACTGAAAGATAACCGCTAAAATTTGCCAAAGTATAGAGGCTTGATGTTTCCTCCATGATCGGTTGGAGTTTGAGTTGCTTAGTCGTCTTCTTGGTGCTCAACAACTCAGTTCTTGTTTTAAGCATTGCATTTACTGTCGCTTTTTCCTGATCATGTCTGTTAGGGTTCCTTGCCTTGATTTCTGTTACAAATAGCAATGTTTACTTCGGTTCTTGATGAAAAACCGCTTTGTATTTTACGAATGAGAGAATGTCCTAATTTACCTTTTGATCTTGTACTGTTGAGATTTTTTGCCCTGTTGTTAAGGCATTTACCATCTTTTTATCGTCACTTCAGTCGCTCTTTACTCGTCTATTGGTTGTTGTGTTACTTCTTGTTTAGCACTAAATTTAAGTAGATACATCTCTATGATGGGCCGCGCTATGGCAATGACCGTATGCTCTTTTAGCTTTACATTCATTACGTTAAAGTTGCCCCTTAAGCATATATTCGTATCTTCAGTTCGCTGATGGGTAACATTGATATTCAACGTAAAAATGAAACTGACCACAAAAGAGACAAGATTTGTAAGATGTTAAAGGTGGAGAATCCTGAGTTTGTGAAGAGGAAGTTAGAGCTGCTGTAAAGAACTTCCGATTTGGGTTAGTCACTTTATGAAATGACTGTCCAAATTCCTCTTCCTCACTTTCTTGTCTCATTTGAACCTCCCTTTTTCGGACAACCTCCCCAGCCCTTTCTTGAACATTTATTTGAAAGTCCATTTCGAGCACAAATGAAGGAATTGTTCTCTCCTTTAAAGGGATCTTTCTTTTCTCTACTTCAACCATAAAATAAACCGGAAATCTTTTCTCGGTCTCCAAAACAATCATTGACTGGTCCACATTTTTCTCCATTGTTTCTTATTGTCTTTCCAATATATCAATCTTGAAATATATTCTCCTCAGCTCACAGGTGCTATTTCCAGATTTTGGAATGGTTTTCAATTGGCCATAGAATGACCTCTTAATTACCAATGAGCTTCCATATCTTTTTGTTGAAATCGCTTCAGTCTGCTCGTAGTTTCTGTCCACTAATCTTAAACCTGATATGGCTTTCTAAGCGATGCCTTCTGAGCAACCCATCAAATAGCTAAACTTTTGCGCTGGTAACAGGCCTTGCTTGTCTACTGCAGCTCGGAAGGTATTCAGAAACTTTGCCTGGTCTAACGGGTCTCTCTCGTACTCAGGTTAACGTAGTTCTAAAAAGTTTTATGGTCTTTTGTGACACTGGTTCTTTTCGCACTTTCTACTACAGCACCAGTTTTTGAATTCCCCTGATCTACAATTCGCTCTATTCTTTCTAATGTACAATCCGATTGGAACTGTTGAATAGTCACTCTCTTTAGGAGACCACTACTCATTTTTTTCCCGTTTTCCTTTTTTCATATTCATCTAATCCTTAGTGTGCCAACTGCGTCTTTCACCTCTTTCCTCAAACTTAGCTTCCCCTTTGACAATGTGTTTTTTGTATCCTCGCACCTTAGCGCTTAGCCTTTCGCCTTTTATTTAAGCGTCTCCACTCAGTAATTCAGCATCCTTGCAGATTTTTTCTCTTTCTATTAAGAACCTTGTTAGGCATGTTTTCTTAACGTTAATCATCGTGATTCATTGACTCCCCACTGTGAGAGCCAAAGAATGTCGCGAAAAATAAATTTTTGCTTCTTCCGGCCCAAGTGACCCTTGTGTTCGTGGTAAACTTATATTAACACTTCATGCTCAAGTCTTCTTATTATCACTTTATTTCAAATGACAAGAGAGACACAGAGAGAACGATACAATCGATTGACGGTAAATTGTATGATAAATGGCAGAAGATACTGGTAATAAAATACCAATAAAAGGAATGGGATGGAGCAGTAAATAACGTATACAGTACAGTACAGTATGAAAATTGACAGCTGCTTCCGCGCAATTAACAAAGTTATTAAAGGAATTAAGTTACAAGGTATGTGTAAAAA